ATCCAATCCGTATGCTGAACAAATAATCAGAAAGTCAGGAATATGTGATGAAGAACTCAGTATCAGGATTGGAGGAAGGTTTATTGCACACCAGCTATGATATGCAAATGACACACGAGGAGGACGTGAACCACATGTGGATGAAGATCAGGGATTACAGCGTTCAAGATAAATTACAGTCCTTTCCAGCCTGGTCCTGGCACTATGGATCCCCCAAAGAAGGGCGGTGAGAGGAAGAAGGGCCGTTGGGCTATCAATGAGGTCATGACCAGAGAGGACACCATCGACATTCACAAGCGCATCCATGGCGTGGGCGTCAAGAAGCGTGTCCGTAGGGCGCTCACGGAGATTCAGAAGTTTTCCGTGCAGGAGATGGGGACACCAGATGTTCGAATCCACACCAGGCTCAGCAAAGCTGTCTGGGCCAAAGGACTCAGGAATGTCCCATACCGTATCCATGTGCGGTTGTCCAGGAAACATAATGAGGATGAAGATTCCCCAAACAAGCTCTACACATTGGTTACCTACATGCCTGTCACCACTTTCAAAAACCTACAGATAGTCAATGTGGAGGAAAACTAGTGGCTGATTATCTAATAAAATTTTTTAAACTGCCAAAAAGAAAGATAAATTACAACTTAAAACTTAAAAATTACAACTTAAAAAAAAAAGTAAAATCCTCACCTTTGGACCAATAGGTCACATCATAAAAAGAGGAGAAAAGATTAAAATTGTCACGTTTTTCATCTTGCTTGGATCTACAATCACTGCTCATGAAAGCAGCAATTGAGAGAGCAACATGCATTGCATTGGGTAAATCTGCTACGTGTTCTAAAGTGCTCCAAGGCAAGAACGTTACTCTGAGGACCAAAGTGCCCTGGGCTCAAACATAGCAACAATTGTGAAGACGGCACAGCATGCACAGTGCTTCTTTCCATTGTCCACAGTTGCTATGAGTTGCAACCGACAGGATGGCACGAAACAACACCATGGCATAACCAAAACTCGAGCCACTTGTTTCTGGAAAAGCTACGAACCTTTGTCATAAAGAGTACCTTATGAATCATTAATATTTGACATATTCATTTTCAATATCAACTTTTGTGTTAGGGTGGGTTGACTAGAGAAACATCCAGAAACATTCATATATCTATAAGAAAAACTTTATATCAAGGAGTAATTGTATATTAAGAAATCATCCCAGCATGATTCAGATCAAGCACATAAGCCTGATATTAGCCCCTAAGTCCAATACTAGACCACAAGTCTCTCTTAGGACTCATACAGCCACATGCAATGATGCACAATGCAGGAAGATCATGGGTCAGTGGGTGAAGTCTTGTGGATCCAGTGGTGGTAGAAGGAACTCAGTACTGATGTGAGCCTCCACATGGCTCCTCCAGCTCTCCGATTGTGGCTCTTCAACAGAAGGTGAAGCAGAAATAGGGGTTCCTCACAGGTCTCAGCAAGTGTCTGTGTGGCTAGTCAACAGGAAGATGAAGGGAAAGAGAAGAGGAGTTCCCCGAATCCCCATGAGAAGGCCATGCCCACAAGGAGGTATCATCAGGCTGTGACCTGATTGACAAGCTAGACTCCACCCCTTCACTCTTAATTAATACCCTCAAGTTGACCCAATATTATTAACTACCACATTTATTAATAAATATACCTTATTAACATTAGTTATATTAGTGTATTAATAAAACTCATTAGCTTTTCTTCCTATATTTCAGACTTTGTCCAGAATTAGGTTTTGAGTGTTTTTTTTAATCATTTTATTGGAAGCTCATACAATTCTTATCACAATCCATACATACATCCATTGTGTCAAGCACATATGTACATTTCTTGCCCTCATCATTCTCAAAACATTTGCCTTCTATTTGAGCCCTTAATATCGGCTGCTCATTTTCCCCCTCCCTCCCCGCTCCCCCCTCCC